CTGCCACCAAACCCCTCTACGTCATCCTGTTCCATCTGGAAAAATCAGACACATTCTGACTCCTCGCACGTGAGAAAACTGTGAGCCTGGAAAAGCACGTAATGCATGCAGGAAGTATTTTATAATATTTCCTGATTAAACGTCTCTTCCACTGCCAGAGGTTTGATCATGATGGGGCTCAAGGTTGACTCAAGGTTGACTCGGCCTTCCATCTTTCCGACATCGGTCAAATGAGGACCCAGATGGTTGGGGGGCAATAGGCTGACTCGGTAAACCGCTTAGAGAGGGGTGGTAAAGCACTGTGAAGCGGTATATATAGTAAGTCTAAGTGCTATTGCTATTGCTATTGATTTTACTTGTCAGAATCCAGCTTGGAGGGTCACACATGGTGATCACATGACCCTGGGATGCCTCAACCATCATAAATACATACATGCCAATTGCCAAGTGCCTGAACTTTGATCACGTGACTGGAGGCTAAAACATACGAGGAACGGTTGCTGGAATTGTCTAGTTTAATGAAGAGAAGGATGAGGGGGGACATGATAGCAGTGTTCCAATATCTCAGGGGCTGCCCCAAAGAAGAGGGAGTCAAGCTATTCTCCAAAGCACCTGAAGGCAGGACCAGGATGGAAACTAATCAAGGAGAGAAGCAACCTGGAACTAAGGAGGAATTTCCTGAACAGTTAGAACAATTAACCAGTGGAACAACTTGCCTCCAGAAGTGGTGAATGTTCCAACACTGGAAGTTTTTAAGAAGAGACTGGACAGCCATTTGTCTGAAGTGGTATAGGGTTTCCTGCCTGAGCAAGGGGGTTGGACTAGATGACCTCCAAGATCCCTTCTAACATTATTATTATTATTGTTGTTGTTGTTGTTACTGTGGGGAAGCTGTCATGAATGCAAAGACTGGTCATAAGTCACTGTGATAGCCTCCAATGGTTGCTAAATGAATGATTATAAGTCGAGAACTAATTCATATTCTGGTTTTGCACAATACTGTACATTAATTCCTAAGCCAGTCAAATGAGCTGGCTTTACCCCAAATGGTAAGATACCAAATAAAAACTAACAAAATGAACACCAGCTTTTGCAAATGGCTCGGTGGCTAGATGGAACCGACCAGGAGAAAGATGTTGTGTGAATCCTTCTTGCACATACACAATCCACAGGTGGGATGCCAAAGAGAACGACCAATAAGATTAAATGGTAATGCTATTCATTTCTGACTGGAACAATTCAATCAGTCAGTCCTCGTAAGGCCATCACCGAGTCCAAAATTTCCATAGCTAAGCGAGATACTTGTTAAGTGAGTTTTTGCCCCATTTTACGACCTTTCTGGCCACAGTTGTTAAGTGAATCACTGCAGTTGTTAGTAAAATGGTTGTTAAGTGAATCTGGCTTCCTCATTGACTTGGCTTGTCACGAAAGGGGATCACGTGACCCCGGGACACTGCAACTGCCATAAATACGATCCCATTGCCAGAGTCAGAATTTTGATCACATGACCAGGGGGGTGCTGCAACGGTTATAAGTGTGAAAAATTGTCATAAGTCATTTTTTTCCCAGTGCTGTTGTAACTTTAAATGGTTACTAAACAGACGGTTGCAAGTCAAGGACTACTTTCATTTGTAGTTTCATTTGCCTAATATATTAATTTTGTTGTTGTTGTTAGTTGCAAAATCGTGTCCGACCCATCACGACCCCATGGACAACGTTCCTCCAGGCCTTCCTGTCCTCTACCATCTTCTGGAGTCCATTGAAGCTCACGCCTCCTGCTTCAGTGACTCCATCCAGCCACCTCATTCTCTGTCGTCCCCTTCTTCTATTGCCCTCAATCTTTCCCAGCATTAGGCTCTTCTCCAGTGAATCTTTCCTTCTCATTAGGTGGCCAAAGTACTTGAGTTTCAACTTCAGGATCTGGCCTTCTAGAGAGCAGTCAGGGTTGATCTCCTCTAGGACTGACCGGTTTGAGCGCCTTGCAGTCCAGGGGACTCACAGGAGTCTTCTCCAGCACCATAGTTCAAAGGTCTCAATTCTTTGGTGCTCAGCCTTTCTTACGGTCCAACTTTCACAGCCATAATATATTAACTTTAGGTAGTTTTAAAATTAGTACTGGGTAAATCCAGTCCAATCCTGGAGAGAATTCACACTGCATTTGGCAGACCCAGGAAGTAAGTTAATTCAGTCTCCAATTTCCATATAATTAATTCATAATTCTATAGCCAGGTTATCTGAATCAAGAATCTGGTAGCAGCTTTTCCAGCGAACAAACGTTATAATAAAAAGGTATTAGCTTTTCTGTATGATGAAAGCACCTCTCAAAAGTATATGCCTTTTAATAGCATTTTTTTTTCCGTTGGACAAGTTGCTACAGACCCCTGATTTTATGCCACTATAA